GGGAAAGAGAGACAAATCAGGCATCAAACAATTAAAACATTTTCTTCAGTTTTCAAGGTGGGGAAGGTTAAAAAAAAATCTTCTAAAAAAACCCTCCCTTTAATATTTTCCTCGCAACTTTTCCTTGTCGAAACAGGGGTGTTTTGGATTGAACAAAAACGTTTCAGCCAGCATGGCTCAAAACCCTTTCCTGTTAGGGAGGGAGAGATGCAAGTATAGAAAATTGCAGTGGAGAGAGAGAGAGAACTTTTGCAAAGGGCGAAAGATAGACCCTACGACAGCACGTGGCTGCTTGGCTGAGAGACAGACACTTTTGTTAGCCAGAAAAGAGGAACCTAGAAAGCAGCAGCAGTAGCAGCAACCTTATCCATGGGCTGTCATAAGGGAAATGATACCCCAAGGGTCTGTGAGTTTCCTGAGCTCTCTCTGCTCCCCTCGGTCTAACCAATCAGAAACCATTCTAAGCCCTCTCTACCTCTTTCTCTCTCTTCTTCCCCTCCCCTTTCCATACCTCTTCTGAACTGTTTTATCCTCATCTGAAGGACCATTCCACCACATTTTACAATATGTGATTCAAATAAAATATGAACCTGCACAAACATCCAAAGCCACACACCTGTAGTCAGAGCCAGTTTATAAAAAGTGTTTAGCGAGGACTCTGTAAAGCTGCGGCAGTAAAAGCAGCCCGGAAGCTACAGTCTGTGAATTAAGAGATTATAATATGAAATCCTTAGGCTTGCTTTCACACTTGTGCAAAGAAAGGATACACAACACAGGTTGGCTCTTTTTCTGCCTTTGGTTTTCTTTAGCTTTGCCAAAGGTCGAATGTTATTTGCAATACAGGTTAGGAGGAGTAAGCTAAATAGCTCACTTATTTTGCAAGCCAGTGGCTCAGAAAAGGTTTGGTTTTCTCCTGCTTTTTAAAAATTACAACGGAAAGTTATATTAAGGAGGAGGGAGAAAAATTATTCTCCTTGGCCTCTGAGGCTAGGAGAAGAAGCAATGAGCTTAAACTGCAGCAAGGGAGGTTTAGGTTAGACATTAGGAAAAACTTTCTAGCTGTCAGGGTGGTTAAATATTGGAAAAAATTGCCTAGGGAGGTTGTGGATTCGCCATCACTAGAGATATTTAAGAGCAGGTTAGACAGACACCTGTCAGGAATGATCTAAGCGGTGCTTGGTCCTACCACGAGGGCAGGGGACTGGACTTGATGATCTCTCAAGGTCCCTTCCAGTGCTGGTGTTCTATGATTAAGTTTTCTAAAGAATAAGCATGTTAAAAGATTAACTTGTTTAAAGAAACCTTTTCATTTAGCAACCACTCCTGGGTTAAAACCACAAACACATAGTTACAGCCAAAGTATGGCTTGTGAAACTGCAGCAGTAAAAACATCCTGTGAATTAGAGTTCAGAAGGATGCTAACTGACCAGAATATAACACAACCCCCCACCACATGGCTTCTTTTAAAACTTTTGTAAAGGAATAATACAAACCACATGTTCTCTCTTTTTACCATTTTAACTTTGCAAAGGGTTGAATGATATTTGCAATAAGAGTTAGAAGGAACAAGATAAACAGCTCATTTATTTTGTAAACCAGTAGCTCAGAGGGAAGTTTGTTTTCCCCGCTTTTTAAAAAATACAAGTGAATGTTAATTTCTAAAGGAATAAGCATGTTAAAAGATGAACCTATCTGAAGACACTTTTTCCCACCACCTTGTCCTCCATGTAGCACTTTAATATATCTTTGAATTAAAAAAAAAAAAAAAAAAAAAAAGCTGCAGAAACTTCCCAGGGGTAAGACCATGAGTTCTTAGTCAGGGTCAGCTTATAAAAGTTTTCTCTGTATGTTTTAATGAGGACACTGAAGCTGCAGTCCATGAATTAGTGATCCGAAGGGTGTTAACTAGCCAGAACATAACATGAACCCACCCCACCCTTCAGGCTTGCTTTAAAACTTTTGTAAAGAAATCCTACACTGCACAGGTTAGCTTTTGTAACCTTTTGTATTCTTTAGCATTGCAAAGGGGCAAATATAACTAGCAATACAAGTTAGAAGGAGGATGTTAAATATTCCCTTTATTTTGTCAAACAGTGGGTCAGAGAGCCATTTGCTTTCTCCACCTTCCTTCATTTTAACAAATACAAGTGAAAACTGTATTACGTTTTGTAAAGCAATAAACATGTTAAATCCTTCTGACTTGTACTGCAAATAGCACACAATCCTTCGCAACGCTAAAGAAAACAAAAGCAAAAAAGAGCTAACCTGTGTTGTGTATGACAAATTCACTTCAAAAGTACATTATCAAATGCTTACTAAATACAGGCAGTCCCCGACTTACATGGATCCGACTTACGTCGGATCCCTAGATACGAACGGGGTGAGGCAACTCCCGCACATGCGCAGCAGCATTCCCGGGGCTCGCTCACCTGGGTCCTAGGATCCTCCTCCTCCTCGGGCCGGCTCCGACTGGGGTCCCGCAGAGCTGCCGGGCAGAGGAAAAGTGCCTCCCCACGCCCGCTGCCCCCCCTGACCCCCCGGCCAGCAACAGGCTGCCCCCTCCCCTGAGCAACAGGCTGCCGAACAGCAGACAAAAGCAGCCTCTCGGCCCCCCCTCCCCCTATACAT